AATGTAGTGCCTAAAAGATTTGACCTGCTCAGATTCATTATGGCTCATTCTCTTATAGAAACAGTTATTTCCAGATCAGCAGTGGTACAATGAGCAATGATCCCAAGTGTCAAAACTCACTAAATAACTATTATAATAGGACAGATTATCAGGTTTGACGTTTCTTTTGAAAAATGTGTGTGTCGACATTTCCTTATGTTCTAAAATAAATGTGTGAAAGGGTATTTCTGGGACTCCTAAATAGCATAATTTAAATTGCATTCTATTTTACCAACATTGTGGCTTAATTAGGGTCTGTATATAAGTATAAGTGATTGCTATTTACAAAGTCAGCTGTTTGTCTGTACAGATTTCTGTTGGTAGCAGAATTCAGGCATCCAGATATTTATAAATATTGTAGAATTCAAAATGCCAAGCCATCTTGTTCTAATTTAATAAAAACAGATTTAATATAATTGTCAAGAAAGACCTTTCTTTTTTACTCTAGATCATAATTGTGGGTGGAGAAACACCAAACTAAAAGAAGATTTGATGGGTAAACCCCAAACAAAAAAAGATTAGATTTTTTTTCTAAATCAGTCAAATTTAGCAATGGGGGGTTGTATACCAACTTCAGTGACACTAATGTTAATAAGTTCTGATAACCCACTACCATCGGACCAGCCTAGATGAGTTCTTACAATTTTTTTAATTAATTAATTTTCTATGGATGTACTTTTGATTTGATTGAACAGAAATTGGAGGTGAAATTGCTTTACCATGCTTGAGTGTTGGATGTCAAGAGTTCACCACTCCTTGATAGAAAATGTAGCACTCACACAGTGATTGGCAGATTTGTTGAACATCTGCTTTATGCCAAGATAACTACTTTTAAAATACTATTTTCTTATCACTGAATCCTTAAACCAGCATTCTAAGGACATGTCATAATTATTGACACTTTATGGATGAGGACAATGAAACTCAGAATGCTCAGTACAAGGTGAGGTCTTAACCTAGCTGTTTGATTCAAAGTCTAAGCTCTCTGGGTTAACACCACACTGCCATTACCAATTAAAGTATGGCTAAAAAGGCAGCATTTGGGCTCTGGCTCTGCAGGGGACTGAAATGAGAGGAGATATAAGCAGAGTTCCAGGGAAGTCACAAAGCAACATGAACTGTGTCCTAGTGTAGCACTTCTAAAAATTTAACAAGCAGATGAATCATTTGAGGGTGTTGTTAACTTCAGAGTATGATTCAGTAGGTTGGGTTGTGGCCTGAGATCCTGCTATTCTAACTCCCCAGTGATGCAAAATTGCCAATCTTCAGACCACACTTTGAATAGCGAGGCTCTAATGCTCAATGCATGATTCAGTACCATGGACAGTGGAACAGGTGGGTACCCATTTCAGTCAAATCTCTTATTATCTTCTGTGGATAGACTGTTGCAACGAAATAGTCAGAAACTTTTAAAGAAAGTGCCTCTTGGATTGCCAGCAGCCATGATGTGATCTTTTCCTTCATATAGGTACAGATCTGTCCAGAGGAAACAACTGGGGCGTTAGAAGGAAGAGAGGGTGCCTCTTTTGCATTTTTATAAGGTATACTGCCAGTGCTCCTCAGGTAAAAAGAATCTAATCAGGTTTATTGTCAAATAAAGAAGTTAATACAGAATTAATAAAATATTTAGGGAATAGAATCAGCCTCAATGTTATAAAAACATCTATATGAGAAGGGTTAGCACTCTCACTTGCACATTTGATGAAAATAAATTAGCATCTTTTTGCTGCTAAATCTACTGAACTATTAGTCAGTTGTACATAATGAGAAAGAAAAATAAACAGTGATGGCAAAGTGTTATTTAAATCACAGTGAAATAAAAATGACCTTAAAATTTAAAAAAAATGTATTTCCATTAGCTTTTTCTTTCTCCCGTATTCCCTCCATATTTTAAGGATAAAGTCAGATAGATTATTTTCTTTGGTTGACTTTGTCTTTCTTTACTTCTTACTTTGAAACAGAAGCTATGGCTTCCAGCAGAGATACCTTGGGGGCTTTAAGACTATCAGTCTATTTCACAGGTGGAGGAAAGTAATTCAGGTAAGAGTTTGGCAATTCCATTTGTTTTCCATTAAAGATATTTTTATTTTCTGGTTGAGGACCACTTCTCAGGTCTGAAGATGTTATAGACTACATTTATGGCAAAAAAATTGGCATTCCCTTAACTTTGTTACATACTCTATTTAAGAGAGCTCATTCTTTTTCATTCCAGTGTATGTTTTCAAAATTAATTCATTAAAAATTTCTTGCCATTAATGGGGCTTACATTAAAATTGTACCAAGAGTGGAAATATTGACCTTCATATTTCAACATTTTTCTCAAGTTAATTACTGATTCCAGAGGAAGACTTTTTTTTATATCTACTATGTTAATAGCATTAAAACAAGTTCGGAGTATGTGCATGTGTGTATTTAAATATGTGTTAATGATCTGTGTCATAGACAAGAAGAGTTTTATATGTATTGTTTCATTCAATTTATACTAAAACACATTATTTGAAATAAGTACTTTGCTCCTACTTAGGGATGGCAGATGTGAGGTGCAAAGTCTCTGTTAGTAGGTAGTTGAGATTACATTACAGGAAGGAGGACTCTCTTCACACTATGCATTCTTATAATATGGGCTTGTTCTATAGGAAATTTATATATCTCACAAGGATACATCAAAAAATATTATGTGTAAAGTGTATTGCAGCTTGATGGTGAGAGTTCCCCCCATTATTTCAACAGTAGGTATGGAGATAAATTCAAAATCCATTAGTGGCATGGTATATTCACATATTCACTGTTTTGTTTTGTTTTTCCAGATGGAGAGATACTGGCCATTAGCAGAGATTTAATAATTTACCTGAGCTTGCCTCTAGCACAATACCAGAGGAATATTTATAGCTAATATCTTGGGAATTTCTTGGTCTTCTGAATTGCAGATAATCTTCTACTTATAAGACAATCTTCTCTGAGATTAATAGTAATTATACTTAAAAGAAATATAAGTAATCCCTTTGTTGTGGTCTCATGTAGTTTATCTTTCTGCTTCCTTTTTGGTTGAATCACCGAAAGCTAAGTTCAGAAATGATCGTCAGTATCTGTGGCCGTAAGAATGTGCTTATTCCTTCTTTCATGGCCTTCCTCACTCCCTCTTGAGGAAGGCTCAGTAATTCATTAAACGTGTAAAATGATTAGATGACCATTTAAAATGTTTCACCACTTGTCTTAGATAGGAGGCCGTGTTTAATGATCTGTATGGACACTCGGAGCCTGGTACTCATTCCCTAGGAAGCTAGTGAAGGTAACCAGATGTCCACTCTTAGGAGCTTCATGAAAAAATGTGGTTTCAGGGTATTTCTTTATAATATAAAGATGTTACAACTAGAAGGAAGACCCAGTGGAATCACAACCCTTTGGAGGGGCACCTCTTACACACTGACAAATGTGTAAGAAAACCTAACAGAATTAAGCAGGCAACTGTGGGCTAAAGAGTACTAGATGCAGGTAGGGTAAAAATAAAACTACAGATGGTTTACAGAGGTGACTCATTTCTTCACACTGCACCCCCCCACACACACACACACCCCGCGACTCCTTTAGTTTAGTTTTTCCTTTTTTACACTCTGATTGTGAAATTTTTACTAAAAATGCCAAATCTCCAACTTCTTGGGGTCAAAACAGGAAAACTGTATTACAGGAAATCCATGTCTACAGTCTGTCTTCACTGCCATATCTGATTTCCAATACATCTATACATATTTTTTTAACTCTGGTAAGTTTTCATGGAATTCTCTTCTCCTCTCAATCTCTCTCTCTCTAACACATACACTGCACCCCAATGCCATGCTTGCCTTCAGTCCATCCCCTAAAGTACACTCAGCAGACACACAGTTACCTCCCATTCCCAGTGCTGGGGGCTAGTGTGCTCGGCACATGCCAGTGCCACAGTTGGAATATCTGAGAATCCAGAGTTTACACGAAACTTAACTTACTGAATTGACCTACATATATATTCATCACTTCTGTCTCTGCCAAACTGGTGGTAATTATCATATTGTTTTATTCTATGAACAGGGCGCAATCTCTACTCACTGGATGTTTGAGGGAAAGGAGTAATAACCTGTCTCCCTCATTACCCTTGATATTTAGAGCCTAACCTCAGCCCTGCTCACTGAAGCCGTCAACGAGCCGGTTCGCTTTCGTCCCACCTGCCCATGACCCTCGCCTTCAAGCCACTCTCCTAGGGCGCCTTCACGCAGCGGACCGACTAATTGGTTTGGAGCTCTAGGGCAGTGTAGACCGAGGGGGCTTTCACAGGGTTGGCTGCGGGCCGGGTTTGGCTTCACTCGCGCAGCGCCAGCGCAGCCCGCCAGGGGGACCCCAACCCGCCCAGGCGGCGTCAAATAAGAAAGAGCCCGAGGGGCGTGGAGCGGAGGGGCCTGCTCCAAGAACGCCCGCAATCAGCTGGTGGTCCCCTGCTGCTCGGGAGGACCTGCGGGCCCGGGCTGCGGCTCAGACCCAGGGTCCCCCGCAACGAGAGGCGTGCCCCACGGTGGGTGTGTCCGTTTCCCCGTTCTGGCCTTTCAGCCCGGAGAAGAGCTTTGGAAAGTGAGTATCTCGTTCTCAGATGGGTTTTGTCCGCGGTGACGCCGGTCCTAGAAGTGTAACTTCGCGGTCGGGGGACGAGTGCAGAAACTGGGGGTCCTGGTGGGGGAGAAGTGGGTGTTGTCTGCATCCTCGAGGAGGAGGCGAGAGGGGAGGGCAGCAGGCGGGGGTAGTTCCCACGGGTCGTAGGCGGCGGTGGCGAGATCGGCTCGCACCCGGGTGGCGACGGGGCCGCGGTGCTCCTGGAAGCCCGCCCCGCCCCCGCCCCCAGCCCGCCTCTTCCGCGCCTGGGGCGTGAGGTTAGGCTGGGATCTGTCTGAGGCCGAGAAGAAAACTTTTCCCCTCCCAGCCTCTGGGTCCCTTTTGTCTTGGAGGCGGCGACGGCGCCTGAGCTGCGCGTGCCTGTCCTCCGCTCCGCGCGCCGCGCCGGTGGCCTCCGAGGGCAGGGGCGCTCAGGCTCGGTGCGCTCCGTGGGGGCGGCCGGCAGCCCCGCGACCCGCGGCGGGCACAGGCGGCGGCGTCCTCCCCGCCCCGAGGCCGCCGCCACCCCGCGGCTCGGGAGTAGCGGGCCGCCCGCCCCCTCGCCTGACTCATCCGCCCGCGGTGGCCGCTCCGCGTCCTCTGCCCGAGCCCCGCCGGGATGGGGAGGGAGACCGCGGCTGCTCGCGGCTGCCGAGCTTCCCGCTGACGCCCCCGGGCCTGCCGCCGCCTTCGCTCGTCTCCGGAGGCACCCGACGTCCCAACAGCTCCTGGAGTGAGAGCCCGGAGGGGCGACTGGATCTCGAAGGCCCCGCGCTCAGGACAGGTGAGGGGGAAGGAACGCGTGCTGCCGAGGTGCAAATGTGGGTGGGCAGCCGCTGCAACTGAAACGGGGCACCCTTTCAGCCCTACTGTCCCCTGCTTCAGTCTCCAGAGTTAGGGTAAGCACTGTTTCCTGAAGTTTGGGAAATAAACCAAGTACGCCGTGTTCCGGACTGCTCGGTCTCCGCTGGGCAAGAGAAGCGGTGCGGGGCAGCCTCCGAGATCCCGGAGCGCCTGGCTGGGTTTCTTCTCCAAGCTACACCTTCCTTTGTCTCCGTTCCAGAGAGTCAGCATTCTCTGCAAAGATGTCCACAGCGTTAATTTATCGTCGTCCTTGCAGGAGCAAAGTGTGGTCAGGGTTTTCTAAAGCAGTATCTGTATGTGGCACCAGCTCCTTAGGCAAAATAAGGAGCTAAGGCAATTATTTGCCCAGTTCAGCCTACTCTAATTGTATAGTCTGTCCTAAAGAGAAGGGGCTGAGGGAGTGCAAGATTTACTTCATTAATCATTCTTTTGCTATAAATTGTCCAAGCCAGTGTTTCACGTTGTATAGGTGCAAGCTCTCTGTTTTTATTGCCCATAAATGTAGACTGACAAGGTTAGGTGTGTGTGTGATACTTGTAATAAAAACAACTAATTGTTCAACACCAGGCATTAGTAATGCCAGAAAGCCAGATGCTTCACCTATATGTAATTTACTAATTGGAGTCAATCCCAATACACCTTAGTCTGTTGTATATCTCAGAACTAAATATGTTGTACTAGTGTGTCTCACCCTGTTTTTTCTTCTGAAGACCTTCAAAAGTAGTTGTGGACAACTATATACATAGAAAACATTTCAAGAACGGGCAACTATTCTAATTTGTCAGTAAGAGTATTGAACTCTTTCAGTTTTGCAGTCAAACCAAGTTCTGAGGTAAACTTTCTGTAGTGCTTTATGCATAAATATTACCTGCTCATGGAAAAGCTACTTACTTTGATGGTTTGTCATGTCTTGCATTATGGAAATACTACTGAATGACCTTCAGCTGTTTTTTGGCTATAGATACCAGAATATATTACCGTTTTGTGAAAAGTAGGCTAGATTTGGAACCTTCTTAAACCTTACTTTATTTTCCTCTATTGTTTACCCATACAGAAGCATCTGCTTATAGTTTCATGCTTTTCAAACAACTTAAGTGAAGGAGTTCTTCTAAATAGAAAATAATATTTCCATTATATGGAAACTATCGTTAAATGCTTTAGCAATTTAATACTATGACATTTTTTTTACTCTTAAAAATATATACCAAGGTTGTTAGGAATGATTTTCTCTAACCAAGTCCTACTAGAGAGCTCAAAATTATGAGATGATTTAGCTATGATTTGTAACTGTGGTTATAATTAGCTTTGTATCCTAGGCTGGGAAAGCCTTCAGTGAAAAAGAGTTGTTGAGTGGGAAGTCTGTGTGTGCAATTTCCAGACAGTAGGCATAGAAAAGTTCTACCTGTTGCTTCTGAGGTGGTTCCAGGTAAATGCGTGTAGTAGCCTAAAAGTACTCATGATCAAGAGGGATCTCCAGGAAAGATCATTGTAATGGGTAGCTTTACTTGTTATTTTAACTTGGAATAATTTTTAGTGAAGCTTTTAAATGCTCTAAGAATTAGATTGCTATAATTGGACTTGTGTAGTTCCAGAATTATGACAACAACTCAGAGAAAGATAACTATTGACATATAGGGAGAGTGAATCCAAACTGATTGCTTAAATTCTCACGATGATTCTCAGCATAAAGGAAAAGAAATTCATATTCATCTTAGGAAAATAGATAAGAACAAAGATAAAATCCGATGTCAGCTTTTACATTTCTTAAGCACAATTGGTAGAAGATAAAACATAAGTCCTCATAGTAATGCACATAAATTATTAAACAAAATGTAGAGTCTCAAAGAGGTAGTTTAAAAATAAATTTCATTTAGTATTATTTTCTCTAAATAGGAGACAATGTGGGGAGCCGTCATCAGGCAAAACACATTTGGAAAAAGAACTTGTGTAGAGATTAAAAAAAACAATCTGCAGAGAGATGGACTCTCCATTTAATTAAGGAACATATGATTTGCAGTTTTATCAACTGTATCCATTTCAGAACCTAGGATGAGTTTTGCCTGCTAAGGTCTGATATGTACCCAAGCACTCAGAGAACACGGACGAACACTCCTTAGGTGCGGTGTTAGCCAGTGCATGGTGCAGTAACCTCTCCCATGGGACCTCCCATAGGCTGGTGGGGAGAAGACTGGAAAACGTGTCACAGAGCTGTGAGCACCTGGGATGGTCCTTGGGCATCAGGGCCCTAGATGGGGAGTAGGAAAACCCAACTTGTCCTCCTGAGCTGCTGACTATGTGGCCCTGGATGGACCCTTGGCCCTTCTGGATCTCTGTGCCCTAATCAGCAGATCGACGGCTTTGGACTGTGATCTTCCCATCCTCTTTCTAAAACGCTGCATGATGAACCCTGGTAGAATTAAGGAAAGAATTAATCAGATTGTAGTGTGCAGGGATTTAGTTAGTAGAGTCTCAGTTCAGGGAAGACAGGCTGAAGGCCCTGTTGGAAGTAGAGAAAGGTAGCAATGTTGCTAATAGGAGGTTGAAGGAGATCGTATCTGGGGCATCTGACCCATCATTGATTATCTGAGTTCACAAAACATAAGAAAATAATAAATACTACCTTTCACTTAATACTTGATGGTTTTTGATGAATTTTTACAAGTAATTGCAATTGATTTTTTGTAACAACCGAGGAGGTAATTAGAGCAGAAAGATGATGAAACCAGTACTAATAGTGCAAAGCACAAGTGTGCTCCACTGCCCTGCTGTGGGGTTTGTAGCAATACGAGAAGCTAGAACATGCTTTGGAAACCCTGTGTTAGCGTGAGAGAGAGAGAAGGTTGTTGTCAGATTTTAGTGGAAGTTCTAATTTTGGAATAAAAATTCAGATTACATTCTGGAAGATAAGAGTCTCCAATTAAGAGATCGAGGTCTCCTGAAATGTCTTGAATTCTGATCATTGGTGTTTAGTCTAATGACTCCTGTTCTGTGCTTTCTTCCCACCTCACCTCCCTCCCCTTGCCAGCAGGAATTCTGGGGTTTGCCTATTAGAGAGTCATTGGTAAGACTCTACTAAGAGCTGTGAGTGCAGCTGAGAAAGGGAAATTCTTGTATAAAAGAGGGATTTCTTGGGCCATTGTACTGTTAATCAACAGGGTAAGTTTGAATAGCAAGTTGTGTGTGTGTTTTTTGTTTTTTTTTTTGCAAAACATTGTTGCCAGAGGTGAAATTAGAGAGGAGTGGAAGGGATGTGAGCAAGGTGTGAAGATGTGGGTCTGTACCTCTCCTCCTATAGAGGCATTATACTCTGCACCAAGCATTAACTTCACCGAAAGAGGACAATTACCCCCACTTCCCACCGTGTTCCTGGGGAAGGCAGTTTGTCATGATTTGCTTGGTTATAGATGTGAGGAATCTATATTTAACTAGGTTAAGCGGAAACAGACTTACTATTAGGCTCATGTGGCTGGACAGTCCAAAGGTGGACCTTGCTTCAGTCATAGTTGGAAGCCAGAGACTCACACGACTATGTTGGTGTTCTTTCTGTCTTTCTCTGTTTTCTCCTCTCCTCTCTGTGTCAGCTTCTTTCTGAGGCCCCTTTCCAGGTGTTGAGGAAGAGGACTGTCAGTAGTTCCAAGCCTGCATTTTTGGGCTTTTGAGCCATAAGAATGAGAGGTCTTGTCTCTTCCAGGTCCCATTTGTAGAAATCTCCTGAAAGGGCTGTGATTAGTCCTGCTGCAGTGGTTGTTGAATCAGTCTCTACATCTATCATAGAGAGTGCTACTTGTGAGTCTTGGATTGAATCATGTGCCCAACACTGTGTGTATGTGGTGCTGGTGGTGGGGTGGGTAGGAGGAGGCTGGTAGGGGCACCATGGTGAACAGTTTTGTCAAGACCACATAGAGATGTGATTCTCCCAAGCTAATGATGCTGCCAGTCAAAAGCAACATGTCTATTATTGAAGAGGATTCTCCCTTTTCTGGGACAGCAAAATGATGTGATGTTTGTACATGGAGCCAACTCAGGTACCCAAGGTCAGGCATAATCCAGAGGTGGAACCCTCCTCCCAGCCAGGGCAAATCCCAGTGATGAAATAATGCCCTCTGTATCTAGACTTTGCTGAAAGGATTATGGTTCCCAGAATAATATTGAATGAGGAGCCCACCATTTCTCCATATCTGTGTACTTTTAGCAAATACTCCTGTGCTTTATCTCCAGCCTATGGATTTCATTTCCAGAAATCCTGGTTATCAGAGATCAGGAGAGTCAAGACACCTATTTGGGGCATTATAGATGCAGTGAAGGTTGACACAGAAAAGTGGATTAATGAACACAGGACAATTGTTTATGCAAATTCATTGGGTTTGTGGGAGATAGGCAGAGGGTAGGCAGTAGGAATAGATTACAGTCATCACTTAGGTGGCCTAAAGCTACAGGTCCCAAATTAGAATTTCGGCATGTATAAGCAACATTGTGAACCTCTGGTGAGGTTGTATGTGAGGATGAAGGAGCATCTCTGTTGACAGAAGTATCTGTGGGATGAACTGGATCAAGGACGACCAGACCACGAAGACAGGCCGAGCCAGGAGGTGAAGTGGCTGTACGTTGTGGGTAGAGTCATGGTAGCTGGACTGTGTAGAAAGGAGGCCTGTGGTTACCATGAGTCCTAGGGCAAAACTTTTATATATATAGCACTGATATTTATTGAGGACCTACTTAGTATACCAGGTCCTGTGTTACATGCTTTAAATTCATTATATTACTCAGATCTCATAAAAGCTCTCTAAGGTGAGAAAACTGAAAGTTAGGGAGGTAAATAACTTGCTTATGAAGTGGTAGCTCTGGGATTCAAACCCTGGCAGTCCAAGACAAAAGCCTGGGCTTTAATAAACTGTGCGGTACTACCTCTCAAGCTCAAGG